CTACTACTACCTACTACTACCTGCTACTATCTACTACTACTAGCTGCTACTACCTACTACTACCTACTACTAATCACTACTACTGCTACGCCTACTACCTACTACCTTTGACTACCTACTACCTACTACCTATTACCTACTACCTACCTCTGACTACCTACCTCTGACTACCTACCTCTGACTACCTACCTCTTACTACCTACCTCTGACTACCTACCTCTTACTACCTACCTCTGACTACCTACCTCTTACTACCTACCTCTTACTACCTACCTCTTACTACCTACCTCTTACTACCTACCTCTTACTACCTACCTCTTACTACCTACCTCTTGCTACCTACCTCTTACTATCTACCTCTTACTACCTACCTATTACTACCTACTACCACTACCAACTACCTACTAACTACCTACTACCTACTACGTACTACCTACTACCTACTAACTAGGTCCACCGCTCATTCTGGACCGTGTTACGATTTTTTTTTTACATTTTCATGGCATTGAATGTTGATAATTCCAATGGGAAAAAGATGGAACCATCAAATAAGCATTGAAGCGCGTAGTTCCATTGGGGAAAAAATGTCATGCGTTTTGCCCATTCTAATTTCAATACGAAACGCGTTTTCCAGATGCACCCAACTATCAGTTTTTTTTTTGCATGTCGGCAAATTTCTGAATTCGCAGTTATAGGGGGATTTGGACACGGGTTATTTTTTCCATAGGAAGTGCGTGTTTTTTACACATTCCACCTGCCAGGGTTTTCAAGCCAACTTTTTTCTCTTCGAGCGTTCGAAAGTCACGTGGCTTTCAGCAATCTTTTTAATGCTGAATAGAACTCGTTTGGTGTGGCAGGCATGACCGACTGTCGGTAGACAAATTGAAAGACAAGGTCGGCTAAAGATGGTTCAACCCTTCGGTGGCCTGCCACTTTGAGACTGACCGGAAACTTGTCTACCAAGAAACGTCTTAATTCTAACCAGGTACGATCTAGGACTTGTGTTCCAGCGTCCATGCCGTCATGGATGTTACGAACAAAGACTTTCTGTTGGTGGCATACCGGCTCACACCTCAAACCCAAACGCTCAGCTTCAGAGCGCCAAGCGCAGTTGCCATCTGCAAAGACTGTGGTGTTGAGCCTCAGAAGAGCGCGCATGTTTTCAAGGTAGCCAAGAGATGTTTTGGGGGCATGGTCGCTAACTTGGGAGACACATTGTCATCCCTGACATTTTTTCGCGCAATGAGCCAGACATGCGTGAGGCACTTGCCAAGGCAGCTTTTGTGGACCTTGTTCAAGAGATGGGAACTTCTCACTTGGAGAAGGGGCTCAGTCGTAGGTCTCCTCAGCGACAAAGTGGTAAACGATGAGTGTCCGTGTTGAAAGGGAGAGAAGCATCTGATCGTGCAATCATTTTCTTTTTCTTATATGACATCAAGTCAAAGTTACCGACGTCTGTTTCCATTCGATATCAGAGACTCAACAGGCAACCGCTAATCAATGAGGTCATCCAATTCCCTGGTGGACAAGCGCTTGAAGACATCCGGAAGATCAGGAGCTTTGGCCAATAGAAGCAAGAACAAGAACGACAAGCACAAGCGCACTCGCAGGTCATGGGACAACATTGTCGCTGGCTTTGAGGTCTAACCGCTTCAAACACTGTCTGGTCTCTTCATTTTCACTCTTTGCATGTGTTGCGTTGCTGGGCTTCTCATTGTCTTGTCTGCATTTATGAAACACTTTCGGATTGTATATTATAATGTCTTGATTTTGCTCCGTGAAGTGTCGAATCTCTGTTCAAACCCAAGTCTACATATAAAACATGTGCCTGCCACTCCCCAAGTCAGGCACTAAGCCAGAAGCGAGACATGCAATTGCAAGAACTGTCCGTCTTTCAAACTTCCAAAAAAAACATGTTCTCAGCAAATTGGGCTGTCACAAATGAAGAAGTTAAAGACGCAACTTCCAAGAGAACGTACTTGTAGCGTAGCATCATCTTCCAAACGCAAGTGCCAGGTACGTTCACACACCCGCCCACCCCTCAGCCCCTGGTGACATGACGCAACTTCCAAGAGAACGTACTTGTAGCGTGGCACCATCTTCCAGACGCAAGTGCCAGGTACGTTAACACACCCGCCCACCCCTCACCCCCTGGTGACATGACGCAACTTCCAAGAGAACGTGCTTGTAGCGTAGCATCATCTTCCAGACGCAAGTGCCAGGTACGTTAACACACCCGCCCACCCCTCACCCCCTGGTGACATGACGCAACTTCCAAGAGAACGTACTTCTAGCGTAGCATCATCTTCCAGATGCAAGTGCCAGGTACGTTAACACACCCGCCCACCCCTTACCCCCTGACATGACGCAACTTCCAAGAGAACGTACTTCTAGCGTAGCAACATCTTCCAAACGCAAGTGCCAGGTACGTTAACACACCCGCCCACCCCTCACCCCCTGGTGACATGACGCAACTTCCAAGAGAACGTACTTCGTAGCGTAGCATCATCTTCCAAACGCAAGTGCCAGGTACGTTAACACACCCGCCCACCCCTCACCCCCTGGTGACATGACGCAAGTTCCAAGACAACGTACTTCTAGCGTAGCATCATCTTCCAAACGCAAGTGCCAGGTACGTTAACACACCCGCCCACCCCTCACCCCCTGGTGACATGACGCAACTTCCAAGAGAACGTACTTCTAGCGTAGCATCATCTTCCAGACGCAAGTGCCAGGTACGTTAACACACCCGCCCACCCCTCACCCCCTGGTGACATGACGCAACTTCCAAGAGAACGTACTTGTAGCGTAGCATCATTTTCATGAGAAGAAGCCGAAAATGCAGTAAAAAACCCACGGGCTGGCGCGGGCGGTGGTCAAACTACCTACTTAGTACCTCCTACCTCCTACCTACTACCTGCTACCTGCTACCTACTACCTACTGCTCACTGCCTAGTACCTAGTACCTAGTACCTAGTACCTACTGCCTACTACCTACTGCCTACTACCTACTGCCTACTACCTCCTACCTACTACCTGCTACCTACTACCTACTGCTCACTGCCTAGTACCTAGTACCTAGTACCTAGTACCTACTGCCTACTGCCTACTGCCTACTCCCTACTCCCTACGACCTACTACCACCCACGACCTACGACGACCTACGACGACCTACTACCACCTACTACCTCTTACTACCACCTACTACCACCTACTACTTACTACTAACTACTAACTGTTAAATACTAACTGTTAACTATATACTAACTACTAACTAGTACTACTAACTAGTACTACTAACTAGTACTACTAACTAGTGCTACTCACTAGTACTACTAACTAGTACTACTAACTAGTACTACTAATAGTACTGCTAAATACTAACTACTAACTACTGCCTACTGCCTACTCCCTACGACCTACTACCTACCCACTACTACCTACCTACTACTACCTACCTACTACTACCTAATTACTACTACCTCCCTACTACTACCTACCTACTGCTACCTGCCTACTACTACCTACCTACTACTACCTACCTTCCACTACCTACCTACTACTACCTCCCTCCTACTACCTACCTACTACTACCTAACTTCCACCACCTACCTACTACTACCTACCTACTACTACCTACTACCTACCACTACCTACCTACTACTACCTACCTACTACTACCTACTACCTACCACTACCTACCTACTACTACCTACCTACTATTACCTACCATTACCTAACATTACATACTAATACCTACTACCTACTACTACTACTACCCACGACGACGGCGACAGCGACGGCTAGGACAACGACTACTACTAGTTCTGCTACTACTGCTAGCCTGTGATTGTCTGTGCCTGTCTCTGGCACATCTGAAGCAGAAGCATTCGCTTGATCTGAACTGCCTCTGAGGAGGACGTGATGCGGCTGCTGGAACCAGAAGCAGTTGAAAGCCTCAGTGCGATCATTTTTAGCTGTACAATCCTTCAGTTTTCAAACGAACGCCTGGCCAAACTCGCAATTGGTGACATTCTTACTTAGATTCTCTGTTTCGCTTGAGCCACGGCAAAACAACAGCAAAAGCTGGGTAGCCAAATGAAATGCTGAGTGGACTTCGGAAGCATCAAGAGTACAAGCCGTGTTTCATTTCGAACAAACCTCTTACATATCATTAAATCATTTTTCGAACAAAATCTCTGCACCTGCTTCAAGCTACCTACAAGTCACAAGTCTGTTGCAGCAAAGTAGTATCAATTGCCATGACCCTTGGCGCTTCTCCTAGGCTCCCCGGCGACTTCCGATATGGATCTGTCTTCCATTTGCCTTAGACATCTTAGACCCGAACGAATCACCCATGAATTGTCTCAATGTCTCTCTCCCTCGGAAGAATCATCCATTTTTCAGCTAACTGATGTACTACATCAACATTGCTGATGGCAAATCTTTGGGGGAGCCTCACGGGATCATCAAGCATCTCAGAGGCATGCTTGCGTGACTGTGTCTGAAGTTTCGCCGTTTCACTATGGCACAACTTAGCCAAGTCAGTGAATATTCAGGTCAGTCACTTCGCAAATACAAACTGCATGTTTAAGCTAGCCCGCCAAAGCCAGAAAGGCGACTTTCTACTAAGTTGTGATGGGACTGCTAGATCGGTTTGCCGTGATTTGCCTCACGCCAGCTACCAAGCACAGCCATATGTCGATGTCCGTGGACCCTTCAGGCAAAGCAACTTTGGTCTGTCAGCCCATAGTCAGTCGTTTCCTCGGTGTTTTGCGGAAAAATGATTGGCATGCATCATTGATTCCATGTTCCTAGCATCTTATGAATCTTGTGTATTGCATCGCATCGCCGTCTTTGCTGATATCTCCCTAGCTCTTACCACATAGCTCTTGTGATCTAAGGCAAGGGGCGCACTTTAGACCCACATTTGGTGGCTTCACTTAGAACCACCAGCTCACTTGGACCCACTTGACTCACTTGGACCCACCAAAATCGCATCGCTTGGACGGTTGGGTTGGGGTGGGGTGACAAAAAACATTTATGGGAACTTGCACACGCAAAACAGCATGGCTTGCACCCTGGCCTTTTTTCGCCACGCTCACTCTTGCAATGCTATCAATGCATGTTGTTGCTGAACATGGCCGCTCTTTGCAGCTCAATTGTCGCACAAAATTTTTGACAAATGACCTGTGAAGGCTTGTCACGAATACTTACGCGCACATGAGCAACGCATTCAAAGATAGAGACAAGCATGTACACATACAGTACTTAATATATAATTATCTGCACATGAACCAAACATACAGGAAGTAGCAGCGCTTTCAAGGGTGACAATCCAGAGGTTTCAAGCGGGTGAAATTCGGAGGTTCCAAACGAGGCAGCGACCCTCGTGAGCGCTGATCAAATTGTTCCGGTGAGCATGCGCAGCTTTGTGCAGTTTTGTGCAGCTTGGCTGATACAACGTGTCAGAATATCCCCATGCGGGTCTTGGGGTCTTGGCTCGTCCTATCCGGACCCTCCCTGTGTGATGCAATATCAAGAGCCCTAAGCTAAGGCCAGCCTTTGAACACATTTGGTTGACTGGCACTGTGATAGGATTCAGCTCTTCAATCTCAGATGATCCAAACAGAAATGGATCGTATCTGTACCCATCCAACAAGCTCTTGTACTGCTTGTCCTGCTTGATTCTTGTTTTACATTGCTTGCTCTCCTGGATATCCACCTAGTCTGCCAAGCATCAAGGGGCGCCAGTACCGGCTGCATGTTGGTCTTGAGCACATCGTCGACTAAGGTGCAAAATCAAAATGACAAATGATAACGGTACTATGAAAACAAATCCTTCCATCCTTCCAGGCATGTGGGCCCAAATTGAAAATGTAGAGTCTTCATTTGCACGCAAAAAAACATCAAACATCTCGTTACGGCTTGTCTTGCGGTGTTTGGCATTGCCTGTTGATTTCTTGTGGTCAGCTGGAGCTATCACAATACTGCATCTTGCGAACTCTTGAACTTTCTTGACCTTCTAGATCATGGTCTGCTGTGGTTCGAAAATGTCTGAAACCTGAAGCCAAGAGAATAATTTCATCACACATGAGTTCACTCCTGGGTATCCCTCCCTATGCAAAGCCTTGAAGCTACAGTTTCCTACCTTCTGTTTCTGTAGCTCTTGCATTGTCTGCATCCACCAAATTCTCACATCTCCTTTTGTTTTCCCAAGCGCCTCAAATCTCTACTCTGCCGCTCATGCGAATTACGGATCCGCAGCCATCCATGTGCATTGTGTTGACAGGAAATGCCCCGGGCCCACTGATGCTCAAAGCTGATTCTTCCAGCGACTAAATGTTCCAAACAATGTGTCAACGAATCAACCTTTTGCAATGACTGGTGCGGATGCGCACAACACGCAACACGTCAACTTGCAGTGCAACGAAGCGCCGTTGCAATTTATTGCTATCATTTGGCGCCACTAAACCCAACCCTGCCCTTGTTGGTCTGCCGTTTGATGCGACATTGCGAGATGCTTTGATTAAGGAAGGGGCTTGTTGCCAGCGCTGGAAAGTAGGCTTTCCTCATGTTCCTATATCCTTTGGGAACTGGTCATAACCTAATAATGTTTAAAAGGAGGCCTGGCCCAGAGAAAAACACATACTCATCTGCAAAACGCAGGTAGTCAGTAGGTTCAAAATGTTGCAAATTCCAAGAGGAAAACACACCTTAGAAGAAAAGCAGGGTATATTGAAGCAGTATGTACAGTAGAATATGTATGCGGCATAAAATGCACAATTGCAGTGGATAAGTTCAGGCCACGTAGCACAATAATGTACAATAGTTATCCTTCTTTTTCCCAAGAAAATTGGAAATATATTGTTTTGAAGCCTGGGGATACACTACTGTAATGTTTTCATATGGTTGTGGTACAGTACCACATTAATTTGAAAGAAATAAGTCATCCTTGAAAGCACAACCTTAATTCATCTACAAGGCCTGTTTCAGTTAGAAAAGTTAGGAGGCTCCCTGGTGTTTTCAATAGGTCGTGGATATGTTCAATAGCAGGTTACCCTTGATGCAGCACCATCAGTATCCACCACACAACCTGATGCTAATATCTGGTTTGTAGCCAGGTGGTATCACACCAAACCCCTGCCATGGGGCAATCTGTCACAGTTGAAATTATCTTCTAATTGACTGCGGAAGAACATGCATATAACGTGTAGTTTGAATTGCGCAGCAAACCAATTGTCCAAAGAGGAATATGTAATCTATCCCATCTATTCAGGCTTTCACCTGTGCTACATTTCCAGCAAGTAATGCTCTGAAGAAATGATATTCTCCAAAGAAGAGCAGTTTTCCTCACAAATATGCAGCATCTCTTTCAAACAAATCAATTTTAACTTATAAGCTGGTGGTGGCTATGAGCTAGCACAGAACATTTTAGGAAAAAACTCACTTTGACTGTTGAAACCTTGATTGAAAAAGACACTAGTCCTCTAAAATATGCATTGTATTTTAAGTACAGTATTCCTACCTCCCCTTTTTGATGCAATTATTTCCTCAAACAAATTTACTTTTTAAAGAACAATGTCTGACTTAAAGCTGCAGTCATGTGTTCAAACAGCAAAAGCAATATTGTAGCAGAATATGAAATGTATCTCGCTGCAGGCTATGATTTGTGTCTACTAAAGAAGTAACACTCTCTTCAAAGCCCAGCTCTTATGTATATATGTTTGAAGGTAACACCATGTCTTTAAAGGAGAATATCACACCCCTTTCCCAAAAAACAGCTATCCTGTATTTGGCAAATAGCAATATTTCTTTGAAAAGTCATTGTCCTTTCCTTTGGAAATGGATTTGAAGGAACGGCTTCACTCATCAAAAAGAAAATTGTCTCAGTTGTCCTTTCTGTTTCAAAGTAACACCAATCTTTGGAAAAGAATATGATACTCCTTTTAAAGAAGCCCAATTGCCTTCTATTTGGAAAGGAACACCAGCGAATGGAAGGAAATGTTTCACTCACAAAATTACACACCCCCCAAAGGCTTCATCCCTTAAATGAAAAACGGCACATCCCCAAAGAATACTGCACGTGTTTATCATACAATCATGTTTCTAAGTTTTAATTGTATGTAAAGGATACATTTGGAAAATTCATGATGCCTTAGAAGCAAGATGAATGAGATTTGGCTTGGAATAATCTGGGTTAATCTAGATTAATCCAAAGGATTTAAGCATCGACGAAACCAAAAAAAACAAAAAAGCAAGAAAAAACAAAAACAATGTTTTGGGGACGGCTTGGATCTAGCCATTGGGGACGGCTTGGATCTAGCCATGTTCAGACTAGTCTGGAAAACACTTATGTGGTTTCAACATACTATTTCAGATCATGTGAAATATTGACAAAAATCATGAGTATATACAAACAAATCGTTGGTTTCAGCGCTGGCAACAAGCCTTTCTGGAGATTAATTGCCATGACTTTTTGATGCTTTCTGCGTCTTTCAAGGGTCTCAAGAACATCATGGCTTGCAACTCCGAAGCTTTCCTTCCAAAGGTAAGAGCATACTTCGTGTACCTTTCTGCCTGGTGTAGTCATGCTGTTTCATCCTGTTTTCTCAAAGTCTTTCACCGAATTTTGGACTGCTCGCAGCTTTCCTCATTCAGCATCAGCCGAGCAAGCTGAATCGCTGCCTCTTGGGCGTTTCTGGCCACCTGGGTTCTCATTCGGTGCTGCAGTATGATAACCTTTGATGATCTATGTGGAGTTTCAGGATACGCTTGGAACTCTTGCAAAAAAACCTGCTGAGATGCGAAGGCATCGGAGGAAAAATACATGGCTTCCAAGGCGTTTCTTCCATGGCACAGAAGCAATTTGTAGCATTGGGTTCCAAATGCTCGGCAGCAACGCCAGAAAAGAAATCCTTCATATCAAATATTGGCGATGCCAGGAGGTGGTTGCGGTCATTTCACATTGTCTGATATCGTTTGGCACTGTTTGACACTGTTTGACACTGTGATATGTTATCATGGGCGGATGTGCCACTGTTCGTGCCACTGTTTTGTTGCTGTGGCTCCGGCTCATCTGCCTGGCCATTCGTCACACTGCAGTGCTTGTCAGCAAGAGCCGGGTCAAGGAGTGGCCCCTTCCGATTTTTCATGCCGGTTCCATCATAAATCATGAGTAGGATTATCATTTGTCAATAAAACATATATAACTAACAGTCGTTCTCTAGTAGCACCTTGATACTCAATTGAATACTTGCGCGTCGCTATCAATGTATATAAATCTCTCCCTTCTCTTGCTGACAGCAAAGACAGGGGTGGGAACGTGGAACAGAAGAACACAGATCCATCATATCACATTTCTTCACATCTTTTTTCCCTATGTGTGGCATCATTGCTTGAGTGCCTGGGACATGTTCTCCTTTGCCACACATGGTCTATGCAATGTGGGTCTGAGCGAGTGTTCTCCATCACCCTGGTCTTTCTGTCCTCGATGTCTTCCAAGAAACTTCGACGCTTTTGCGGTGAAGCCTGAGCTCAATTGTCGCAACATGGAAGATCAGGGAGGTGAGCCAAATAGGCAATGAATTTAGAGCGAAAATACAATCTAAGACAAGGAGAAAAAACATAGATTCCATAATTTGCTCTTTGAAGTGTAGACTCGCAAAACAGGCCTGGCCGAACGAAAACAAACTCAGGAAAGGAGGTGACTTGAGATTGGAAGAACTCCGCTTCAAAGACAACATCACTTTCTATAAAACCACCAGAAAGTTTTGAATCATGTTGAAACCTGTGCTGACCACATCTCATCCAACTTCAGTGTCCCAACGAGCCTGCTGCATCTCAGCAATGTATCCCCGATCCTGGCGATGTCACAGAGATGCAGCGCAGTGCAGCCATGAACTCAGGAAGTTCAGGCCGAGGCAGCCAAGGCCAAGGCGAGAAAAGATACCCATGGGATTCGAAGGCTTTTGACACTGACGAGAATCACATCCAAGATGCTGTGGAGGCGTGCCATGTATATCTCTAATGTCGCATACAGAGGCGAGCATAGTATTTTTTTGTTTTGCTCGTTTGAAGGACTTTGCAGGAAGGAAGTGAAGTCCGCACTTTGACGTTTATTGCCAGTAGTGCCGCACAAGGCGGTGGCGGAAGTTTCAAGGATAGGACACTATAGGAGAGGTGGGTTGTTGTGATGCATGGATGGCAGAGCGAATCCGCTGATGGAACGAAAGGGGAACTGTGTTTTTTTGAATGGTTGCAAAATGTGCTTCGCGCCACAACGGCGTGCAACTTTTCATCTCTCATCTGGCCAGATGGCTCCGCACCGGCCGCTTTAGCGAGCCAACTTTTCGACCCTCCGGAGCCACAAATCATTGGAAAAACATAGTGAATCGCGAGTTTCCTACCTTTTCGCGCACCTGCATCTTCTTTCTTCTGACTCTTTCTCTTCTCTGATCTTCTCTCTTCTTCTCTGGCTCTTCCCACCTCTGCTTTTCCATCTGTCCATATTGTCGGAAGTTTGACTTCTAAACCCCCTTCGAAGAGGAGTGCTGTTGCATGGTTAATTTGGCTAGCGAACGCAGTTTCAACAATTGAAACATCCAAGCAAGAAAATCTGACACATGCAGGATTCAAACGAAAACAAAAACTCATGGGCATGGGCACCAAACAATGTAAATCTATCTGAACTAGCCTAAACCCAGGTCAAACTGGGAACTGATGAGGAGGTCCCAACAAGTTCTGTCCAGAGCGCAGGCCTTCCCAGTGAGCTGGCCCACCTGAGTTTGCA